GCCCTCACCTGCCATAGGCAAAGCGCCGGTCCTTGTGGTGGTCCCCGAAGGTGTCCCAGAGGCGCAGGGAGATGCTGACCTCGTCCACCACGTCGCGGGAGCGCTCCAGCACCTGCGGAGCGGGGAGGTGTCAGAAGGCGGGGCGGGGCGGGGCAATCCCCGCGCTCCCTCCGCCCGGGCTCACCTCCTGGCACACGCGGTACTGGTCGATGGCCCAGACGGTGGGCACGTGCGTGGCCAGCAGCTGGTACTGGGTGAGCGTGGCGTTGCAGGCCCGCGCGCAGATGAGCCGGGTCTTGCCCACCGCGTTGTCGCCCACCACCACGCATTTGATGGTCTCGACGTTGGGGCGCTCGTAGTCCAGGTCAATATCCATGGGGGCGCCGCCGTCGTCGCTGCGGGGGAAGCCCGGGATCAGGGCGGGGAGGGCGCAGTCGGGCCGCCGCCCCTCCCCCCCCGCCCCCGGGAGTACTCGCCGGGCCCTCCCTGCGAAAGGGGCGCCTTCACGGGACCCGGGGGGCCGGCCGAGGCCCTTCCCCGCCCCGGGGGACACCGGCGTCCCGGGCGCCGCATCCCATCGCCACCCCGAGACGCTCGGCCGGCAGCCGCCGCCGCGCTCCCCGCGTCCGGTGCCCCGCCGCTGACGCCGCACCCATCCCCGCCGCCGCCGCCGCCTCTCCGTCCGGCTGCCCCGCGGCGCCGCCCCGCCAATCGGCGCCCGGCCGCGCCCCCTCCGCCCGAACAAAGGAGGCGGCGGGGGGCCCGCGCGTCGCAGCGCCACCGGCCCCGCCCCCCGACCCGCCCCCCCCCTCGTGCCGGGCCCCGCGGGCGGGGCTGGGAGGGGCCGCGGAAACAGCCCGGCCGGAGGGTCCGGGCGGCGGCGCTTACCTCGCCCGGGGTCAGCTCGCTTGGCAGGCGCGCCGCGGGGGAAGGGCGGGTGCGTGGAACGGAGGGCGCTCTGCACATGGTCTTGGGCGCGCCGGTCGTCCGCAGTTCTTCCCCGCCAAAGCCCGGCCGCTGGCGGAGAGCGCCCAGGCGGCCCCGCGGCCTCATTCCACTTGAGCTC